TTGTGCTGTGTCCTAACGTCTACTAGGAGCCTGGTGTTTACCGGGGGTCTTGATTCCCACCTGGGGCCTGGGTGTTTACATGGGGTCTGATACCCTTCTGTGGCTCTGGTTTCCATCTGTGGCCTGATGTTCACGTTCACCAGGCACCTAGGTATCCATGTGAGGCCTGATGTCACCCTGGGACCTGATGTTCACCTGGGGCCTGGGGTCAAGCTGGGGCGTGGGTGTTCACCTGGGCCTAGTAATTTACATGTGCCCTCGTGTTTACCGAGTTCCTAGGTGTCAACTTGTATCTTAATTTCTTCCATGAGCCTGGTGTCCACCTGGAGCCTGGGTGTCACCCTAGGGCCTGAAATCCTGGGGACTAGCTGTCCAAGTGGAGCCTAGGTATCACTTGGTATTCACTTGGGTCTGAATTTCACCTGGGGTCTGATGTCCATTCGGAGTGAAGTTTTCACTTGAGTCCTCATGTAAACCTGGTGCCTGGCTGTCAGCCTTGAGCCTGATGTTCAACTGGGATCCTGTGTCCACATTGGGACTGATTATTCACCTGGTGCCACGTGTACACATGGGACCTTGTCTACCTGGGGCCTAGGAGTACTCCCTAGGCCGGGTGCCTACCTGGGTTCTGATATCCACGTCGGGCTTGGTGTTCACTTGGGGCCTGATGGCTACTTGGGGCTTGCGTAGCCTCTGGGGATGGGTGTTCTGGGTGTTCTTCTAGGGATGGGTGTTCACCTGCAGTCTGATACCTACTTGGGGCTTGAGTATCCTCTCGGGGCCTGATGTTCCCCTATGACCTGGTGTGCAACTGGGCCTGGGTGTCAGCCTGGCACCTGAGTTCAGTGTCCACTTGGGGCCTGGTGTTTAGCTGGGGCCTGATACCCACCTGAGGCCTGGGTGTTTAGCTGTGGCCTGTTATCTTTCTGTGGCCTGGGTGTTTATCAGGAGCCTGAGGTTCACCAGGCCACCTAGGTATCCACCTGGACCAAATGTCTCTCTGGGGCCTGATGTTCATTTGTTGTCTGGTGTTTACCAAGGGCTTGGGCATCCACCTGTTGACTGATGTTCAGCTGGGGCATAGATACTCACCTGGGGTCTCTCTGGGGCCTGATGTTCATTTGTTGTCTGCGTTTACCAAGGGCTTGGGCATCCACCTGTTGACTGATGTTCAGCTGGGGCATAGATACTCACCCAGCCCGAGGGCACCCAGGCCTGACGCCTGCCTGCTGAGGCCCAGTAATCCACATGGGCCTGGTGTTTACCGAAGCCTAATGCTCACCTTGGGCCTGGTGTTTGCCTGGAGCCTTGGTGTCAACCTGGGGCTGGACTTCCACGGGGGGCCTATTATCCACCTGGAGACAGGATGTCCAATTGGGTTCTGATGTCCACCTAGGATCATCCCTATGTATGGTGGATGAAACTTAGCCTGGTGGTAAAATTTAAAAGAGAACCTTAAAAGCTATCGAGCCAAGTGAAGCAAGCAGAGAAAGGTCATTCCATTCCAGCAATGAGAAGAATGCGTAGCCCAGCAAGGGAGCCAAGAGCAGCTCAGTATGTGTTGGGATCTGCAAGAGGGAGGGAAGTTGTGAGTGCACTGGAATACCAGACCCGGGATGGGAGGATGCTTTTCAAGCTGGCTGCCTTCTCCTGAACGCTACAGCTCAGATCAGTCTTCTTTTTGTAGGTCAGGAGTTGAGTGTTATAACATCAGCGTTTCCCAACGAAGTGGAAACACTTTTCGTAGATAGAAGAGACAGCACTTGCAAAAATTTAGAAATGTAAGGGGACATAAATTGGAAATGATTTTGTTTTTAAAAACAAGTAGTCTTAAACTTCACTTTCTTTATTTATTTATTTGAGACAGTCTTGCTCTGTCCCCCAGGCTGGAGAATGCAGTGGCATTATCTGGCTCACTGCAACCTCCACCTCCCAGGCTCCACAATTTCTCTGCCTCAGCCCCAGAAGCTGGGATTACAGGCACACACCACCATGCCTGTTAATTTTTAATAGAGACATGGGGTCTTGCCATGTTGCCCAGGCTGGTCTCGCGACTCCAGAGCTCAATGTGTTCCTCCCACCTTGGCCTCCCAAAGTGCTGGGATTACAAACGCAGTCACCGCACCCGGCCTGGGAAGAAAGTCATTTTAACCTTGTATCTAGTCTGACGCCTGGGCTCTATGGGGTGTGGAAAGGGAAAGTGGTAGACACGTAATGACACAGAGGAGACTTGGACCTAAATGGTGAGACCCTGAAGTCTGGATGCTTTGGAGGAGAATATAGATCAAAGGTTGATGATCAAAGTATTCACAAATAACTATTTTCCATTCATTTATTTTTAATTTACAGTTCTGTATAAAATCAAAGTAATATTTTATGTACAACTACAATAGATCTTATCCTTTTTCTAGTTATTTCTGCTCTAGTTACAGAACCATGAGCTTATCTCGATTCAATCTGGAATGAAAATGTTCCAGCGTTTATAAGGTTTTTAAAGATAATTCTTTACAACAGCCTTGGGGGTGCAGGTTGGTGTGAGAGAAGAGTAGTTAAGGGGATGATATGAATATCAAAGAGAAACTAACAACAAAGAAGTCCAAACATCACGATTAGTTTCAGAAGAAGTAATTCTTACCAAAATTTTCAGATTTCCTCTTTTACTTACATAGAGTGTGGTTAATTAGGAAGATATTTCTAACACCTGCACTTTTAGAACCATATTTACTATGCAGCATCGCAAAGCAGGCTTTCCTTCCACAACCCCCAGTCCCAGGACAAAAAACGAGTAGGGAAGTACCTCAGCAAACCCAGTCAGAATGTGCAGCCGCTCAGTCTCCACCTGTGTGGATTGTTTCAGCGCCTGGGCCCTGATCCAGAGAGGTCCGAGGAGAGGACCTCAGACCCGGTAGGCTGTGCACCTGCCACCCCGAATGTCATTCAAGGGGAAGCCTGGCCTCATCCCGGCGCGCCAGTGCCAGAGGTAGCTGCAAACTGCCAGTCCGGCACGGGAAGCGGTGGGGTGGGTGGGGAACGGGCAACCCCAGACTGTCCATGCCTCTCCCGCTGCCTGACACCAGCCAGGCAGCCCCCAGGGCCAGAGCCTCAGCGCTGAAGCCAGGCCATCCGTGAAGCCAGTCTGGTGGCCGCGGGGTGCCCGTGCCAGCCCCAGATCTTCCTGCGGACGATGAGCGGGGTGGGCGCGTGGCCAGACTGGCCCCCCTCCTCAGGCAGGGCGGGCTGCGCGCCTGTGATTTTCCGCCTGGGGTCCTGGGGCTGCCCGGGCCCGCCAGGAGAACCCGCGAGCCCAGCGGCGCCTGCCCCGGGCTGCAGCCCCACCTGTCGGCGGACGCCGCCTGGGAGCGGCTTCCGGGAGTCGCGTGGCCCCCGCGGTGCAGGCGCGCGCCTAACGGCTTTGCGAGGCTCACTGGGTCTGAGAGGTCAGTAGGTCTGAGAGGTCGGAGGCTGCGAGTGTCGCTGCTGAAGGGTGGACCGGGCTGGATCGCGGATTCTGGGCTAGATCGCAGAGGTTGGATCGGGGATTGGGAGTTGGTTGGGGGTTTGGGGCTGGGTGTGGGGCGGGGGCGGTGAAAAGGGGACAGGGAGCTGCCGCGGCTCGGGAGCCGGTGGTTGGGGGTCTGAGAAGAACTCACCTCCTTGAAGAAGTTCTTCGGCTTCGGGAGCCGCAGGGGCCAGCGGGCCTGGGCCCCACAGACCACGTCTGCACGGGTTCGGGGCACCGAATCTGGGACGCGGAACTGCGGAAGATCCACAGGGCGCTGTCACGGGCGATGCCGCGGAGGTGGAGCGCCGCCTGGCGCGCGGGAGCAGAGACCTGGAAGCCTGGGACAGGCCGCACAGGGAGCGGGGGGCTCGGCCCAGGGTGGGAGGGGGTCCCCGGCCCGGCTTCCCCGCAGCCCCTGGGACGGGGCCTTGGAGGGCGCAGGACGCCCTCGGAGCGGCGGTGCCAAACGGAGCCTCAGCTGCTCTGCATCCCTCATAATTCCCCGGCCGGAGCACTTGGTGGAGAATGTGAGTGATTTAACTCACAAAGCGAAGCATATACAGTGTTTTTATTTTTAACCTACA